CATAAATGTTACCACCTAAATGCTCCTGACATCCTCCCACAGGACCCACAGGACAAATCAGACGCCCCTCACAACGCTTCACTCCAAGGGACGACCAGGTATTTTGCAGGAGAATCAATGTTAGGGAGTGAACACCGTCATGTAGAGATGCAGTGTGTGTGTGTGTGTGTGTGTGTGTGTGTGAGGAAGGTTGAGACGAGGTCATTTTTTTTTTGTCAAGGAGATGAGTTTGTCACTTCAGAATGTTACTATCAATGGCCACCACCCTCTCATGTGGGCTTTAACCAGTCCCCCTTCTCGTGGCTGCTCACTCCCTCACACAACCCCACTAAACGTCAATCATAACTCCTCCCCCATCCAGTGTGTGGTTTCCAAGTGTACCTTCAATAACTCCCGTACCATGGATTTGCCAAGCTGATATGTTCGTCTGTACTGCACTATATAATCACCTACTTCAGGCACCTTTACCCCACCCCACACCACCCTTACCCAGCTCAGCCTCAGGTCTCCCACCATCACCAAGCATCCCGCATAAAACCTGAACCCTTTCATCACCACCTCCACCGAACCCCCATCATACCCCGCCTTCTACCACTCCACCACTTCCACACTACCACTCACACCCCTCCACAATCTTCACGACAACCATCGCCACCCTCCTCCACACCCCCCCTCTATTCTACGGGTACGGTAATAATGGTGTTGATGGAGAGTCGGTCACCACTATCACCTTCCACATGACTGACGCTACTGTCATGCTGTGCCGCGCCGCTCACTCATGCTACTTCATGATGCTAATGATCACTAGTTCTGCTGTGACGTATAATATAATGACACCCTTGGCAGGGGCGGATCCAGGGGAGCGGCCTGGGGGTCCGGACCCCGGACCCCCCCCCCCTTTTCATAAAAAAATTCCGATACTTTTTCTTTAATGCAGTACTGTACTCAGGCGCTTTTGTTCAGTAAAAAGTAATTACTATTGACCTCAGAATATCTCTTAACATCAAGTGCACATGGCTTCAAAATGCCCATGATATTGGTCAGATTTCCAAAAAAAATATGGGGGAGCTTACAGGTTCCCACCCCACCCCCTACCCGAGAAAATCCAACTGGGTGGGCTCGCTGTGCTTGCTATGTAACCCCCCACAAACACAACTTCTTGGACCCCCCCTTTTGATATTCCTGGATCCGCCCTTGACTTGGTCTAACACGGCCTAAGATGATCGTCACTGCTGCCTATACATGTTACGTTGTCCGCTCTTGCTGTTGTAGGAAGTCTCTGGTGTACAGTACATGATGAACGTGCTACAAGAAAAGAAGGAGAAGGTAACTGGAAGGACTGATGAACGACAAGTGTGAACAGCAACAGAAGAGGGTTTACACAACGAGAACAAACACCCACACACAAATTGTTGCCCACATACTCAATTTATGTACGGAATTCAGCGATGATATTTGTTTTTTATGTAAAGACTTCGAAACAACACTTATATAACTGTAGCATTCGTGTGGTAGCTCAGACATCATACTATTCACCCACTGAAAATCACCTCCCATAGTGCCGTTTCCTTCTCAGCGCCAGGTGTCTCCATACTACAATACAGTGGATTATGTCTTCAGCAAGGGGGGAAACAATATGAGCTTGTATCACCTGTGTTAACAAAAATTACAGTGGATCATATTACCACCTTGCCTGACTCCACCCTCCTCCTGTACATACACCAGTACCTCAGTCATGGAAGACAACATCTCACCACGCCTGTGTACTAATAGTTGACAATCCTGTACCAGATATAGCAGAAAAATAAACATATCCCAGAATAATAACAATAACTCTCTGACCATAGCCACCGGCAACTCACATGATCACACACAACATGACGATGAAAGATACACCCTGTAGAATTATCGTTACCTCTTGAAATGTAGTTGGTGAGTGAAGTGAAATCCAAACCACGGCGAAGGCTCTTGTGTCACCCCTGCCCCCATGACCACCTCCCTCCCCCCTTCCCTGACAACTATCAATGTCTTGTTAACACTAACTTCTCTTGTGACAAAGGAGCGATCAGGTCTGGTTTCTTTGGTGGATACTTGGTTAATAATGAAGCGTCCAATGGCGGAGAGGGAGACCAGGGGTACCAGAATATAGTGTTCAAGAGTACCAGAATATAGTGTTCAGGAGTACCAAAATATAGTGTTCAGGAGTACCAGAATATAGTGTTCAGGAGTACCAGAATGTAGCATTCAGGAGTACCAGAATATAGCGTTCAGGAGTACCAGAATATAGTGTTCAGGAGTACCAGAATATAGCATTCAGGAGTACCAGAATATAGCGTTCAGGAGTACCAGAATATAGTGTTCAGGAGTACCAGAATATAGTGTTCAAGAGTACCAGAATATAGTGTTCAGGAGTACCAGAATATAGTGTTCAGGAGTACCAGAATATATTGTTCAGGAGTACCAGAATATAGTGTTCAGGAGTACCAGAATATAGTGTTCAGGAGTACCAGAATATAGTGTTCAGGAGTACCAGAATATAGTGTTCAGGAGTACCAGAATATAGTGTTCAGGAGTACCAGAATATAGTGTTCAGGAGTACCAGAATATACTGCTCAGGAGTACCAGAATATAGTGTTCAGGAGTACCAGAATATAGTGTTCAATGGTACCAGAATATAGTGTTCAGGAGTACCAGAATATAGTGTTCAGGAGTACCAAAATATAGTGTTCAGGAGTACCAGAATATACTGCTCAGGAGTACCAGAATATAGTGTTCAGGAGTACCAGAATATAGTGTTCAATGGTACCAGAATATAGTGTTCAGGAGTACCAGAATATAGTGTTCAGGAGTACCAAAATATAGTGTTCAGGAGTACCAGAATATACTGCTCAGGAGTACCAGAATATAGTGTTCAGGAGTACCAGAATATACTGTTCAATGGTACCATAATATACTGCTCAGGAGTACCAGAATATAGTGATCAGGAGTACCAGAATATACTGTTCAATGGTACCAGAATATACTGTTCAGGAGTACCAGAATAAAGTGTTCAGGGGTCAATGACTCCTTAATTAAGCAACTTATGATTAAAAATAGTTCATGTCCCTTCAGGCACTTGTGCCCTTAATGCAGGAGTCAAGAAGGCAAGCATGAACTCTGCATGCTTCCCTGTTGGGCGCTTCGCCTTGCACACGATGCAAGGGAATGCCCAATACACTAGCCCTCTCGCGGGGCAAATTGTACAAATCGTAAAAAAATAAAAAATAAAAAAAATAAATAAAAAAAAATCCTTTGTGAAAATTTACAAACATTTTTTTCGGAACAATCAACTTCACATCAAAATAGTTATTGGTGTTTTTTTTTTCTGATGCAGCGGTAATGATCATGCCTCTCGTAATGTGTCCTTGGTTTGATCCCTGGCCCGGGACTGATGTTAGAAGGGTGTTATCCTGCTGCTGGTAGACAACTTATTGGACAAGGATAGATAGACAGAACAAGTGTCCTGAACACCGTCGACCTAGTGACCACTGAAGCTGATGTGTACTTCTATAAACACACACACACAGGGCAAGTGTCCTTTGTGTAAGATAGATTTATATATCCTATATTAGTGTATGAGTTTATATCATAACTTATCAATAAGAATTCATAATCTTATCTTGCCTTTATATACTGCACAGTGTGTTTCGGTCACATTTATGCACACTGCCTTACAGATTTTCGTGGAGATCGCGTGTATGCTTGTACAGGTATTACAACAAAAATATTCTCCTTGATTGAAGGAGAGCCCCATACAAAAAAAAAAAAAGTGAAGACAATGTGATCTCCATGGTTTCAGTAGTGTATAGGGCCTATACATTTTTATGGGACACCGGACACACTATATACATATAATCATAGAGCCTGCAGGGGATATGTTTGTTACTGCCTTACGTGTACTACGCTTCAAATTTCCTCCTTATGGTCAGGAGATGCCCCAGGTTGTTGACTGGTATGTTGTTCCAGTAAGTCGATGCTAACCCTGGCCTTGTGTGTCTCAGAGACGCCACTGTTATGTATAACAGCTCCCTCCACGCCCACACCATCACACATTTGCCTCACATTTCTTTATTCAGTCTCTGGTGACAATGTTCAGTATTCATAGATTTATTTTTCGCGATATTCTTGTCAGTTTTCGGCGGGAACGAAAAGAACAGCGTAAATAAGACGTTTAGGGTACTTTAAATCAATAAGAAATTATAATTCGGATATAAGTTAATTTTACGAAGGAATCGGAAGAAAAAATAGTTAACAGCAAATAACAAATACATTAACTTAAAGTTAAATAATATGTGGCTAATGTACAATACCTTTATAAAGCACATGTGATGTGGAAGGTGGTGAGTACTACGATATGTGTATACAAAATGATCGGTGAAATTTTAATGAACAAGAGTAACCCGGTAGGAATAATGTCAACTACCGTAAAATATAAATAAATAAATAAATAATGTGAATTTGGAAGCTAAAGATGACGGAGCCCCAAGGAGATATTATTAGTTTAATAGATTGCATAATGAGTTAAACAGATACGCTAATGTAAGGGGTACTAGCTTTTATTGTCAGGATGAACAAGATGATATGAGGCGGGAAATAAATGACGATTTGAGAGAAATAAAGACACGAAAAATTAAAAATACCAAAAAATCTGTAGATATTTTGATTAACATGTTTATCTTTAATTATTGTTATCGCCATACTGAATGTTACCTAGATTACTTGAGACAAAACGAAACCTTTTATTGATGAAAATATTTAAACATAAAGATAGTTTAAAAAATAATGCAAATTTTTAATTCCTGATATTTAAATGGAATCACCTGAAGATCCGCCTAGTTTTTTCTTTTTACCTGAAGATTAACCACCCTAACGCTGACCAAACCAAACTTTACATAACCTTACCTTACAACCTTACTTAACCTTTAAATGCTATAATTAATGGTGTTTCTTGTGGTTTGCAGTACACGGGTCTGTGGTTTGACATCGAGAGTGTGCCCAATGACTACCAGCACACCAAGAACTGCGTCACACAAAACTACACGTGGACAGGTGAGCGAGTCCATGGTGGTTACTTGACACCTGCCTGGTTGATGGCTCACCTCCGCCACTTTACGTTTTTTTTTTTTTTTTTTTAATTCGTGAACCTGACACGGTAGAATGGTTTAACATCATCCAAAGACGTGGTGACACATCAGTACTCCATAGATTTAATATAACAGCTGCGCCAGTGCGGGATGGATGTACTGTATTGTTGAAGAGGCGTTTACCTATTCCATACATCGCATACAATTACTGTGCATAGAACTGACTGATGCAGTTAAAACTTGAGTATGCCTGCAAACAGAGAAGTTAAAGAGGTTAAGACGAACTTGTGAAGGTAACCATGTTGTGTATTTCCTACCAGTGGTATATTTATTTCTTAACTTAGGACACATTAAGAAATATCTTAATAATGTAAATCATCCCTACGTTAACTTCCATCACTAAAATTTACAATTATTTACTCATACACCAATTCTACCATACAGTATAAAGGTCTGTGAGTGTGTGTGTGTTGCTACACTGCGGTCCGCCGCACCTAAGTTCCAGCTGACCAATCACTTGTATACGTAACTTATGCTAATTCTTGTTTAACTTGTTTTGTCTGTCGCTTCTAAACCGTAATGTAAGACCATATTAAAAAAAATAATACGGTGTATTCTGCACACTGACATAGTATACATCACAAATAAAAAATGTTGACTAAATGACCTCAGAGGACAGTGTAAGGGTATCGAGATATTAATGTTGTCTAGCACTCAGGATGGAAGGAAACTCTAATGTGGTTTTCTTATATAATATATAAGTTATATGATAGACAGTCTGGTGCTGGAGGTGCCGTGTGGTGAGGAAGCTCGGAGAAGGACAGCTGGTGGGTCGCCATGTTCGCTGGAGGGAGCGAGGACCGCCAGGCAGGCGAGGAGAAGCGAAGGGCAGCCAGGCAGCGGCGGAGGAGGAGGTGTTGCTAGTTCAAGAAGAATGGTCAGAATGAATCTCAATGGAGAGACAGAGCTTATATACCCAGCAGCCGCTATGAGTCATGTTGGGAAAACCCGAGAAGTCGCCGGTCTTTTGGCTCGGTTGCTAGGATACGGCAGCATTGGAATGCGGATACGCTTGGTTGCTAGGGAAGACGGTAGCAGGTGGTGTGCAGCTACGCAGTTTGTAGGGGAGACGTCCACTACAATACTCCCCCTTCCCTCCAGGCGGTGGAGGAGACTTGTTGTTTATAGAGTTGCTTAGCACATGTGAGGCAGACCGGGCGGTGCATGCCTCATGTGAGACAACGGCGATGGCGTGATGAGCCGATCGCTGAAATACAACTGTCTAGATACACACTATCTGTGGGAGAAGGGAGAAAAAGGGTGTGTGGAGGCGATGAATGTTGTGCTTCCCTCACGACAGGTACAGGGTCGTCAGATGCGCCTGCTGGGGTGTGTGTGGGCCTGGGTCAGGAGCAGGGGCTGCGTCAGCAGCAGCGGATTAGGGCTCGTGACAGCAGCTGGGTCCACGACAGCAGCAGGGTGCATGACATTAGCAGGGAGTACCTGAGGGAGAAAAGAGGGGGTGTGGAGGCGATGGATGTTGTGTGCTTCCCTCACGGCAGGTACTGAGTCATCAGATGCGCCTGCTGGGGTGTGTGGGCCTGGGTCAGCGTCTGAGGCAGGACGGGTGTGCTGGGGTCGTAGGATGTGGTGCTTGGGGCAGGAAGAGGAGCCGGTGTCTGCTTGAAGACTGGGAGCATGATCAGTGTCTCCTCCATCCTGTGTGAGTGCTAATCTCCGGGAGTCACCATTTGTAGGGGTATCGAGATATTAATGTTGTCTAGCACTCAGGATGGAAGGAAACTCTAATGTGGTTTTCTTGTATAATATATAAGTTATATGATAGACAGTCTGGTACTGGAGGTGCCGTGTGGTGAGGAGCTGGTCAGTAGAGACGTTCGGTGAGTAGCTTGTTGAAGGAGGTAGATGTGCAGGAGCTTCGTTAGAGAAGATGTTGCCTGTTGCTGGCCTCCTGGTTGAATGAATGCTGGACAGCTAGGAGCTTGCTGGAGGAGGTGTTGCGTGTTCAGGAAGATGGGCCAGAATGTGAGTTGGTTGGTGAGGAAGCTCAGAGAAGGACAGCTGGTGGGTCGCCATGCTCGCTGGCGGGAGTGAGGACCGCCAGGCAGGCGAGGAGAAGCGAAGGCCGCCAGGCAGCGGCAGAGGAGGTGTTGCTTGTTCAAGAAGAATGGTCAGAATGAATCTCAATGGAGAGACAGAGCTTATATACCCAGCAGCAGCCGCTATGAGTCATGTTGGGAAAACCCAGAAAGTCGCCGGTGACTGGTTCCGTTGCTAAGATACGGTAACATCTGGTTGGTTGCTAGGGAAGGCGGCACATTGGAATGCGATACGCAGTTTCTAGGGGAGACGTCCACTACAACAGTGCGGGTAGCCTTGTTTGGGTAATTAAGGTTAGGATAAGTTAGCCCCTCTTTACAATTAACGTTTATAGAAATACAGCATTTACTGGCCGAGAACAGTCAGCTTTTTCACATTCAAAGTATTTTAATTTTCTTATTCGTTAAGATACTTTAATGGTCTAAATTTCCATCTAAGGAAGGTTAGGTCTGGTTGGTTGGGCTCATGATGCAAGGTTAGGTCCGTGATGCTAGGTTACGAAGTTATGGCAAGTTAGGTTAGGTTAGAACGCATGAGAAATGGTTATGGTAAAGAAAATAATCATGTTTCTACCAAGACAAAACAACTCGATATTAAAAATAAAAATCGTCATGCGCACTTGTAAACATTTACCAAAGTTTGCAGCCAATACTTTTTTAATATAACTTATCAAATACAAAACTAAATCATACCAACCTTCATTGTTGAGAAGATTCATTTCAGCATCAGGTATCCTTGAGCCACTGGTAATTTATATCAGGTATGGTACCTTTGAAGAAAAAAAATGGCCGTCTCATAACCTAATAATTCATATTTTAAATTTCGAACTTTCTGTTCACCATTAAAATGTTGTTCACAGATCACTGCATTTTTCACATTTAAGTCTGCCTGCTCTATGGCAACGTTGTACCCATATATCCTTACATAAGAACTCTAGATTTGCACCAAAATACACTGTTTTCATTGCTTTAAACCTGAATACCTTGTATGTGTGTGCACCACTATCCCTGTTCACACACAAGGAGAGTCGTAAGTCACATCAATGTTCCAATAGGCGGCCTTGCGTTATTGTCTATTTACTGTACAGTATTTCAAAATATGACACCATTCTTGATTATAACTTTTGAACTGTGGTACAGTTGTGAAAATGTGTTCCTACATCCTAATGATCCCACGTAGTAACCCGTATCTCCAAACGGCAGTGTATGAATGGGTATTGGTCGTGTAACGATGGACGTAATTGGTGGATAAGGTTGCTATAGGAGTATAGGTCATAATTAGGTTGGCAATTTGGAGAAATGGGTTACAACGAGGGGGGGGGGGGTGTAGGAACACATTTCCGGAACTGTAGCCATTCTTAATTATACTGTATATTAAAGAAAACATGGCACCAGTCTTGAGTACATATTTAATAACTAAATTAAATTATTATAATTTAACACCATTTTTGGTTATAACAACACTAGACAATTAAGTTCATAACAAAGTATCAAAGAACTAGCCCGAACGGCTAGTAAACTGGTAAGTGGTGAAATGATGAATTAAATATATTTTTCGTGCTGTGTGATACAGGGAAGGAAATGATCGTGGCCACGCGGGGGTTGACAGCGGTGGGAAAGAAGGTGCGCCAGGGAGCCATCATGCGCCAGTCCACCAGCAGCCCTGACCCAGCTTTCATGACCGTCTTCGCTGAGGGCGTCCCCGAGGTCCCCTACCAGGTATATCGCCACCCAAACTGCCCCCACCTAGTACTTCCACCCACACTGCTCCCTATCTAGTACTTCCTCCTATACTGCTCCCTACCAAGTACTGTTCCTCCATCCACACCCACACTGACCCTTACCGGTACCTCCATCCACATTATTTACGTAGTCCACACCGTTCTCGATGCCTCCACCATCTACACTTCCCCCTTTATACATGCCACACCCTCCCTCCTCACACTCAGCCACACCCTCCCTCCTCACACTCAGCCACACACACTCCCTCCTCACACTCAGCCACACCCTCCCTCCTCACACTCAGCCACACCCTCCCTCCTCACACTCAGCCACACCCTCCCTCCTCACACATACTCAACCACACCCCATCTCCTCACACATACTTAACCACACCCTCCCTCCTCGCTCACACACTGCCAACACCCTCCCTCCTCGCTCACACACAGCCACACCCTCCCTCCTTGCTCACACTCAGCCACATCATCCCTCCTCACACTCACACAATCAGCCACACCTTCCCTCCTCACTCACACACTCAGGCACACCCAACCTCCTCACACTCACACACTCAGTCACACCTTCCTTCCTCACACTCAGCCACACCCTCCTTCCTCACACCACACACTCAGTCACAGCCGACTTCCTCACACTCATACACTCAGCCACATCCTTCCTCCTCACAACCACACACTGCCACACCCTCTCTTCACACCACACCCTCCCTTCTCACACTGCCACACCCTCTCTCCATACACCCACATATTCTGCCACTAAATACAGTACATCACAACTAGTTTAGTACTATGGGGACACCTTCAGATTCTGTGTCATCAGGAAAGCAGAATCACTAAAGCAGTTCTTCAAAATGCAGTCATCATTTTTTTTTACATTTACCTACTTTTTTAATATAATTCTGAATGATCTGTAATTCTTTCCCTGTAAAGTCAAGTACAAGTCCCAGGAGTCAGCAAGTAACTCTAGCACAGATCTACAGCATCACTCCTTTACCTGAGGACAAGTATAAGTGTCACCTATATTCCACAGTAGATAATATAATACCTCTCTACAGATGATGAATGTCTTCACATCTCTGTTACTCTGTGTATATCTCATTAGACTACATCTGCTCCGAGGTCATCACCCAACGACCTCCAAATTCTTTCACTCCAACGAGGTTAACACAATTCTCTTACATTGTTGGTGTGTATATAGATCGTTGCTTCGGACTACAGGACCTACTCGTGTGTCTACTCATGCCTCGAGCGCTTTGGGTTCCGGGCAGAGTTTGCATGGGTGTTTAGTCGCAAACCCACACTGCCTGATAACACCATCAAACACTGCCACGAAGTTTTCACTGCTATGGGGGTAGACCCCACAAAGATGGTTAACATTACCCAGGGAGAGGTGAGTAATGTGACAATAGGGCATTGATGTGGTTCTCAATTCACATTACAGAATTTCATTCGCAATACCAAGGTAGTGTTAAGTCCTAAGCTTCTTCAGAGTAAACACAAAAATCAATGAAAACAATTTTGAATAAATGATTAATGAATGACTGAACTTATGACAACATAAGAATATATAACCAGTATATAAACAAAGGCAATGTGATTTCATTTTTTGTCCACAAACTTAAAAAAAATAAATATATAAATAAAAAAAGCATACTAAGGCAGTTTTATCATCTTAGGTGTACTATTTACAAGTGTCTCTGTAACCTGGTCAGGAATGCCCTTACTATGAAAAAATTGAGGAGACATTGGCTGAGAATGAACAGTACCTGCTGAAGATCCTGGGTCCTTATGTCCCCACCACCACCACACCAGCCCCTACACACCTTGACCAATCTATTGTAGAGATGTCTGAAGAGGAGAAGGTAAGAAATATAATTTGGCTTCAGCTGCTGTATTATATGAGACAACTGTGTTTACATGCTTAGTACAGTTACTTTCCTGAAAATGTGGAAGATGAATGTGGATAGTTAGTTGATGCTGCTGATGAAGTGATAGGAAAATATGATGCACTATTGAATTACCAGTATTTATAATATTGAGTGTTTAGACAACTTACTTCACATGTACAGTATAATAAACCCCGGGCAGGGTGAAACTATGGGCAAGTTTCTTACGTCATTTTCTGTGTCTACCCAGCAGTACAATAATTGGGAACCTGGATGTTAATCAATTTGCGGATCGTATTCCGGGGTAATGGTTAGCCAGTGCAGTTGGCCAGTTTTCTCGGACTATTCCTTGACACTGGGTCATGCAGCTCGTTAACTTAGGGCATGGTTGCTGTGCTGACGATAGCTTCTACACCTTAAACAAATTCACGCCTAGGTGGCCCTTGGGCCGGCCATCCTCTTTACACGAGGGGCAATCATTATTAATAAACTATTTTCTTAAGTAACAATGCCTTCTGTCAACACAAAAATTTTAATGAAAAGTACATACAGTGATATATGTGATGCCATGTTGCCTCATTTACATTTTACATTCTTGCCACTGTCAGCTCACTAGCCAGTCAAGCACTCAGTCTAGTCTCTAATACATACTGTTGACAAATACTGGGCATGTATGGGCTCTTGGGTGTACAATACTTACTGTAAATACAGTATATGCCATTGTCAATTAATTTTAGACATTAAGGATCTCATGTTTGGTGGTGTGGATCATCAAAATACATCTAATTAAAACTCAATATCAGTGCTGTGATACCATTTGCTTTGTCTTTAGCGTCTTACTGTAGACACGTACAAAATCAAACACAGTCATCCAATAAAACTTGTGTCACAACACAAATAATGCTGGAATCCATGTCATTATCAACAATACAGGGTTATGTGTTGTACTGTACATCTTACATGCTTTACCTGAGCAAGAGTAAAGGAGTCAAGAGAATACAATACAGTGTGCATCAAGCTTTTTTATCCTGGACAGAAAAATTCCAAATAACTATTATTTCCTATTTCTAAATGTCGCAGTTTTCCCACTATTTTTTGCTGGAGTGTCTGTTGTAATGGTAAACATTTGCATTTACAGACATTGCAAGACCTTAAAGGTAAAATGGAGTCAGGCTTCAGTACACTATGCACAGATTCCCAACAAAAAGGTTAGTTAACAAATCTTTACCGATTTGTTTCTGGAACAGTGCAAAACTGGAAAGGGAGTTTACTTCTGTAGAATATTTAAAACTGTTAATTGAATCTCACACAAGATACCAATCATCATAAACAGGTGAATGACAAGCATATACTGTACAGTATTCTATACTAGAGATTGTATGAATGTTTGTATTGCAATAAGCAACATTATCCTCACTTGCGGGAGACTTCACACATCAACATGTGAGGAACAATGTTGTTGTTGCTGTTGTTGTAATACTGTACAGGTACAGTGTATAAACACTGATGTGATTCCTGTAAAATCTGTAATGTAGTATGTATACATTTTTCTGATATATAGTACCTTGTATTTTTCTTAAAAATGCTTATTAGCATTTAATTGATCTGAATGGTAGTGTTTAATCATTAATGAGTGTTTAATCATTAATGAATGGTGATGCTTTCTCAACAGAGACAAATGGAGCATCAAGTGAAGATCAGGAAGATGATCCCAACAGCAGCACCCACCCTGTCACCTCCTTTCCTCTCCTCCCATTTTTACTTCTTCCATTCCTCATTTACTAACACACAGTACAGTTGAGACAAGTTCCCTCTTTTTTCTTCTTCCTCTCATCATTGTACGAACTCAGTCATTTGTAAAAGAAGTATCTCCACTATTTATTCTGCTTTTTATTTTCTCATTGCCTTACTTTCAGTTAGTATTATTTTCCAACAAGATAAGTTTGAATGTCATTTGTAATTTATCTTTGTTCTTGCTCTTCGTTTATGATCCATATGACCTCTCTGCTGGGAATTTGGGCCTGTTCATCCCCTCGGGATTTTGCAGTACTACACTGCATATTTCCTGTTAGTTTCATCATTCTTGTTTGGTCAACACTTGATTTCCTTTCTGGTGTGATCTGATTCTGTTTTTTCTTTCTTTAACATTATTTTCCAGACCAAACTGTCCTTATCTATTTCATTACAGGGTAGTTCTTGAAAAGCTAGCATCTCCCAGCTGTAGTTCTAGTGGTGTTGAATGCTGCACACTTGGTCTTCGCCCCCTCCCCCAAAGCATTATTACAATAATAATAATAATAATAAAATATAATAATAAAATTAATAATAATAATAATAATAATAACAATAATACTGTAATAATAAAATAATAATACAGTGAACCCTCACTTTACGCGGTCAATTGAACCCACGGCGGCCCGCGTAAAGTGAGAAACGCGTAAAGTGAACAACATAACATATGGGATTAATTGAAATAGAGACTGGGCCGACCCCCAAACTCCACTTTTTCAGACACAATACCTACGTTGTAGTAAAAATAACTTCTTAATTTTATGATGGTATGCACACACAATTAATAATTAAGAGAAATATCAATAATATTAGGTTTTTTAACACTTACATTAGTAGAAAAGATGGCTGGGCACACGGGGATGGGGGGTTGATTCCGAGGCAGAGGGCAGATTATTGGCCCTCACCTGTATCACTTGTATCAGTTGTATCACTATCCACCACAGAGGCTTGCAGGGCCTCTTTGTCAAACCCTTCAAAGTCCATATAAGTCCATATCCTCACTATCATTATCACTATCACTGACTTGGGCCGGCTGTGGTGGGTGCGGGTGAAGAATTCGGTCATGTTTTGATGACTGGGCGACCTTGTGCGCACCCTGCTCGCGCCGCTCTTCGCGTAAAAAGGTACACACACTGCGGAAAGTGAGCATTCCGTGTTCGGCAGGGTACCGCGTAAACGTGGAAACGCGTAAAGTGGGACCGCGTAAAGCGAGGGTTGACTGTACAGTAAAGAAATACAAGAATGAAAAAAAGATCAAAAGTGCGAAACACGACCTAGACCTATGAATTATTATTATTATTATTATTATTATAATTTTTATTATATTTTCGACCCCCAGGCCCCAATGTGAGTCAGTGATCTATGCCCGGGTGGGCAAAAAAAAAAGAAAAGAAAAAAGAAAAGAAACACCCTAACCATTCTGAAAACCGAAATGCCTCTGGCCCCAAGGATTTCAGATAAAGGATTGTCAACCTGTATTGTTATTATTATCCACTCTGTATTTGTGTTTTTCTGGCTAAATAAACTGTTTTAATTCAATTCAATTCAATTCAGTAAGCTGGATGGGTCTTAAGCTGTCCCAAAGAACTCTATGAATGCCAATACTACTGTACTGCAATGTACTGTATTGTACTGTACACACTTCCTCTCACTTGACTTCCACCTTTTATCATCTTTTTCCCTAATTTATGGAAGAGTGTACAGGTGTACTTCATTACTGATAAGTGAATGGAATATACTGTAATCATAATATTTTCTTTACTGTATTTAGACACTAAAGATTAAAGCTAATGGTTGGAATTTCTTTATCTACATTTTCATCGATACTACAGTACTGTATACTGTACTACATGTATATCTATTTCATTAAAATACCTCAAGTACATATACAGTAGTCCAATTCATAGAAACTGTTTTTATTCATATAATGACAACTGAACAAAGCTTAAGATCACAGAGATCAAAGTAAATTACCTAACCCTAGAAAAACTTTTTTACACGCATTAAATACAGATATCATTTGACAACACTAGTTAATGAAATTTTTACCCTTTTTACAATGGTCTTTATTATTAACCAGTGTTGCCTAATAATATCTATACTTAACGTGACAAGTCTATCAATCTCATATTAAGGTGGCAACAAAATGTAATTATCTGGGACTCTTACTTTTCTTAATGGATTTTAACACATTTCTTGTTCGAACTGACTTACTGTTTGCATACCTGTATTGTACTGGTTAAGTACATGCTGAACCAATGTGAACTTCTTTTACCATTTTCCTGTCATATCTAACTTTATACAATAAAATACAAATGAAAAGGATGTTATGTTTTATAGGAAAAATATATTATTAAATTTACCTGCTGCTCTTTATGATCCTTATCAAAGCAGATCCTCTTAAGTCTTCCCATAACTGATGGTTTGTACTGCATCTCCTCATACTTTCTCCATGAAGACATAAAGTCACAAATGTCTCGTTATCTTATGCCCTGAGAACAGGTAGCAGAAGATCATTACTCACATATATTTAGGTTTATTTGTGTACACAGATCCAATCTTCTAGAAAAATAACACATTACTCAACAGTGACGGCTTATGTACAGTTGCCTCCACATGAACGTACCACAGCCTGGGAGCGTGTGAGGGCTCGGGTATGAGATGTGGCAACGCACCACAGTAGTCATGGGCATAAAACCGTGAATTGCCCTGTTTGCCGGCTACACAACAATGTTACATAACATGTGTTACAGGGTTCGTTTATCTTTTTATTTCCTTTATCATTTGTACCTTATCACAAACAGGGTAATTTCACTGTTTCACTCACGTGCATTCAGCCCTGACTAAGGTGCTGCTTTGCCACATCTCATACCCTGAGCTGAGGGCTCAGGTACCTGTACCCAAGCTGTGGTACATTCATCTAGAGGCAACTGTACCTGGAAGTGAACTGTCAAAGACGGCATTCCTAGATATGGACAATTTTCTTAATACCCAGTAACATTAAGAGCAAAGTTTTCACAAGGCATACTGAAGGCATGTTACAGTCTGGACACCTACAAATACCTCTCCTGACTGAACATGTGAATAGTATCTTGCTCACTTCTAATAAAGGGATCTCACAGATTATATTAACCCTTAAATAGTGACCATCATTGGTGGTAAAGTAGTTAGCTATAGGTATGGTGGCCATTGTCTGTGGAAGTAACTTGTACAAAGAGTGGCCCATCATGTGGAAGCAAGCTGTAGGGATGATGGCCATTATCTGTGGAAGCTAGCTGTAGGGATGATGGCCATTATCTGTGGAAGCTAGCTGTAGGGATGATGGCCATTATCTGTGGAAGCAAGCTGTAGGGATGATGGCCATTATCTGTGGAAGCTAGCTGTAGGGATGATGGCCATTATCTGTGGAAGCTAGCTGTAGGGATGATGGCCATTATCTGTGGAAGCCTGTGGAAGCAAGCTGTAGGGATGATGGCCATTATCTGTAGCCATTATCTGTGTGAAGCTGGATGATGGCCATTATCTGTGGAAGCTAGCTGTAGGGATGATGGCCATTATCTGTGGAAGCTAGCTGTAGGGATGATGGCCATTATCTGTGGAAGCTAGCTGTAGGATGCTGTGGGAAGTAGTAGGATGATGGCCATTATCTGTGGAAGCTAGCTGTAGGGATGATGGCCATTATCTGTGGAAGCTAGCTGTAGGGATGATGGCCATTATCTGTGGAAGCTAGCTGTAGGGATGATGGCCATTATCTGTGGAAGCTAGCTGTAAGGATGATGGCCATTATCTGTGGAAGCTAGCTGTAGGGATGATGGCCATTATCTGTGGAAGCTAGCTGTAGGGATGATGGCCATTATCTGTGGAAGCTAGCTGTAGGGATAATGGCCATTATCTGTGGAAGCTAGCTGAAGGGATGATGGCCATTATCTGTGGAAGCTAGCTGCAGGGATGATGGTCATTATCTGTGGAAGCTAGCTGTAGGGATAATGGCCATTATCTGTGGAAGCTAGCTGAAGGGATGATGGCCATTATCTGTGGAAGCTAGCTGAAGGGATGATGGTCATTATCTGTGGAAGCTAGCTGAAGGGATGATGACCATCACCAGTGGAAGTTTCATGTTTCAAGAATTATTATTTTTTTAATATACAGTATAGGGGAGTAGGCAATCCATAACTGTCAATTAAGGGTTGAACAAGAAAATAAGGCCCTCAGAACACACGACACTAACACCTTCAAAACAAAATCTGGAAAATATTAATTATCAACACATTGACCAAAGCAATAAAGGTATAGAAAAATAAGAAAAAGAGAGGCAGAAGGAAGATAAGAATGCATGTAGGAGGGGAAAAAAAGGGAGAAGGAAGGATGGAAAAGAAAGATGGGAAGAAAAGAATGAGAAAGAAGAAAAGTCAGCATGGGAAAAATTAAGGAAGGCTGAGGAGTAACAAAATGTATGAATTACCTAACTTCAGGAACATACATGTACTACAATCCACAAGTTCCCACCAACCTCTAATGTGAACTCAGTGCAAGTAGGAGATCAGACACCACAATGAAAACTGACAATTATCCCAAAGAGTTTTAGTTTTAATGAAATATTGTACTGAACCATCTCTGCACTGCCTGAGGTAAATGCCCAACATGCATAAAACACGTGTGACAATTTGAAATTAACCCAAAGAAAGCTGTAATAAGGTTCAAACACACAAACTGTACACTCATAGTGAAAGTAGCCACAATCCAAAGTTTCTTTACCCCCGTGGCTGGAGAGAAGGTAAAGCCAAGGTTGAAGAAAGGCCAGATGAAGACATAGAATCGTTCAGGAGTTTGGTGATGAGGCACGATGATGGTGGGGCTCACACAGTCACAACATACAAGCACAGGTATGAAATATGATTCAAAACATTGACATATGGTATGGTATGTTGGTAGGGCTATAATTATTTTATGAACATTAATAGTATAGTATAAAAGGGCAGCTTAAACCTTGTGTACGTCCATTTGTCTGACCTTTCTTCAAACTCGGTTTCACCTCCCCTCCAACCAGGAGGGGTAAACAAAAAACTTTGGATTGTGGCTGTACATTATCAATAAATTTATTTTGTATTTATTATTTCCACATGTCTGCTTACAAGTCATTTAGGCAGTTCGATCTGTTCATTGTTACGACCTTCATTGTCAAGTAATGTTTGGGAGGGCCACAGTCGCATCTGACCTGATGATTGAACCTGGGACACAGTAGTTAGAGGTAAGTGCACTATCTAACAAATGTACAGTCTCGTTCAAGATTCTTCGAACACTGCTGGAGACAGCTGGCAACTCAAGGCCATTTGTTTACTATAGTACTGTACGTAGTATAATATAATACGAAACAACAAAGCCCAACCACAAATTAAGCAACAGGGAACTAAGTAACCAATCACCGATCACTTTTACATTTATTCATAATTTTTAATACGTACATAGTAAACAAACGGCCTCGAGTTGCCAGCTGTTTCCAGCAGTGTTCGAAGAATCTTGAACGAGACTGTACATTGTATATACAGTACAACACCAATGGTAAGTTTTATGTCAAGACACTGAATTCTGAAGG